ACACAAAGCAGTTCTGACAAGAGGTAAGTGTGATCCCTAAAGCCGATGGCTAGTCTGAAATAACTCCATGGGCACCATCTCAACCCAGAGTACTAATCACTAGCCTGGTTTCCTCCTTCTTCATTTTGGACAACACTACTTGGGAAAGGAGAAAAAACAAGTTGTATAGGCAGAGAAGCTAAGTAAAATGAAAGCAATCCTGTGACAGTATTTTTAAGATTATATGACAACTAGAAACAATTTACTGTCTAAAGGAAAATGGAGCTCATCAACATTAGAAAATGTGTTGTGTGAGTAAAAATTTTCCCTAGCTGAGACATTCGGGTGCTTAGCTATGTATGTAACTGACAGCTGTTTACACTAACATATAATTTTCTAGTTTAAACAGGGCACGGCAAAATGAAAATGATAAAGGTTTTTGGAGTCATCTAGTAAAAAAGAAAGCACATTGCACCACAAACATAAAAGGCTATAAAAAATTACAAGTTACAGACCATACAAATTAGGAGGTTAAAGAGGAAAGGAATGAGTCATACAAGGGAATGCTTCAGAGCAGTGCGTAGGACAAGAGCTACATACACCACCACAGCAGCAGTACTTGCTATCCGTGTCATCTGTACAAGACACAACTCACATGTATCACACAAGAGCTCAGCAAGTCAGCTGTGTGTACGTAAACATTTTTCTTGGTACGTTCTGAACCATCTCTGAAACAATAAAAATAGAAATCTAATTCTGTTGAGGTCACTTGGGACTTAAGTATCTCAATTCCCCTTTTTCTGCCAAAGTGCTTTCAGATCTCTAAAAAATATATATACATATGTATATATATATTTTTAACAGGTAATAAACATAATTTGGATCACACTCTGACATGCATTACTCTAAATGAGTACGAAAAAAAAAACCACAATTTTTCATCTGAAAACATACGTATTTCTCAAAGGAAAATCTAACAAGCAGTAAGCAGTATATTTCATCACTTTAAACAATGGATAGGGTTAAAGAGAAGAAAGTACCTAAACTCTAAAGCTCGAGCTTTCACATCACTGGGGCCTCTATTTTTGTCTTCTTTTAGAACAGAAAATGACAGAAAGTTGGGGCAATCTGCTCTTCGACTTACATCCGTTGCTCAGAGGAACAGAGAAAAACGGTGATACACGAGTATCCCCTAGTGATAAAATGGTGAACTGCATAATAATATCAGTGCTTCAGATAGTTAAATACTCGTGCAGTCATAAAAACTCACAAACAACATAAAGACTCACAAACAACAACAGCAAAAAAGAATATGCTTTTTGATACTCACAGCCTGGCCTGGGGATGGCTGAGGACTGACAGCCTCAAACACAGGCATGAAATGCCGAAGCAGTAAATGTTTGTCTAAAAAACCATCATTAAGAATTTAAGTTTTCAAAGAAAAAAAACTGAAGGAAAAAAAAAAAAATAGAGGTAATAACTACTTAAAGGCAAAATACACATTCCTGGAGTTTTGAGGTTTGGCAGTTTGTTCTGTAGTGGGAAGGGGGGAAAAGGAAGGGGGAAAAGGAAGGGGGAAACTGAGGACCCAGAGCTCAATATCCTGCTAATATTCTGAATTCAACCATACTCAGTCAAATTCTGAATGGTCATACAAGCCGAGGGAGTCATCCTATCTGCATGGTAAAGGATGCCAACAGGAAAATAAAATTCATAAATTGTTTCTACTACTATTTTCAAAGTTTTCATCTAAAAAAAAATAAACCAATCAAACCACAGATAGAGCCATGAGAGATCTAAAACCCAGCCAGAAAAATCAAAGAACTTAGCGGCCTTCAACCCGGATCCAAGGAGCTGAGAATCTGCAAATTGGTGTTGAAGGGCAACAAGTGAAAGAACCACGTCATTGACACACATTTATTACAGCAGCACTGCCAAGAATGCCTTGTCATTATCACCACAACTGAAGCACTAAATAAATAATTAAAATGTTCTTTTTATCATGCTAGTGCTCATCGACACATCCATCAGAAAAGACTAGCAGACCCCCAGATTTAAAGGAAGAATGTATTTCTGGCTGTCAACTACATTGACTGGATTTTTCACACCTTGAACAAAAAGCTTCACAAATTTCCTGGATTAAAACAGAGATATTCACATTCTAATTTCATTTGTTGGAAGTCTCAAACCAATACACAAACATTTCTATACAATGAAGTCCAATGACATCCAGGCACCCAGCTTCCTGAAAATGTTCATCTGTCTTTTATGGCTTCGGAATCCTAAGCGGATTATCAGTCAAACTGATGAGACCTGCCTACCTTCAGACAGGTATAAAACTCAAGATTTGCTGGCAATTAAGAGAAATAATGCTATCAGTAAGGCATACAACAAATGCAAATGCAAATGCTGTTTACTGGAATTTCTGTGACTACTTCTTCTGAAGTTTCATTTACACAACTCAGTTATTAAGACAAAGATCAGTACTGCAGCGTTTCTTTTTTGACACCTCAGTAACAGCGTCAGTCCTTATAGGGGCATGAAATAATTCCTGAATTCCAATTGGGTGTCACCAAGCATTTGCTAAAGTAAATAAGAAAACATCAGAAATAAAAAGGGAAATCTATTTCTATGTTCAGAAATTCTGACATTTTCTTGCTCATGTTTAAAACGTCACTGCTTTAATGAGCGCTGAATGAACCATTACAGAGCTAGACACTGTTGCAGCAGGACTTAGTAGAATAAGGATTCTCATCCTCCACATTTTTAAAAACAGAGGTATCATCTTGATGAAGAAGGATGAGCAGGAAATGAAATGTCCAGCATTTTCGTAAGCATTTTTATTAACTTGCAGAACAGGATTTACTTATTAAACGCAAGGCCTCCAAATATAAACCACACACCTGCATTACACTCACACCAATTATATAATACATATTTATATAATTACTCACAGCTTATAAATTACAATCTTTAAGTCTTTAATGAAAAAAATTCGCTACAAAGAAGACAAATTTGTGAAAACTGGCATACATCCACGCCCTGCTTCTTGGTGGGACATTGAAGAAATCTACCTCAGTTCTGGATAAATACCAGGTCCTTCACAGTGTGTGAATGTAATGTTCCTACATTAGTAACTTGTCCAAGGTATGACATTAGGAATAAGCTATTTTCTTGTTTACATCAGTTGTTGCACAGCTTTAAGTAAACTAACTATCACTACGGAGAGAAGGGTCAGAGATTTTCCACTCACCTCCCCTCTGTCTTATGTAATAAATAAAAGTTAGATACAAGCACAATGACACAGACTTATCACACAGAATGGCCAGGGTTGGAAGAGACCTCAAGGATCATGAATCTCCAACCCCTCCACCACAGGCAGGGCCACCAGCTTCCACATTTAATACCAGACCAGGCTGCCCAAGGCCCCATCCAACCTGGCCTTGAACATCTCCAGGGAGGGGCATCCACAACCCCTCTGGGCAGCCTGTTCCAGCACCTCACCACTGTCTCTGCAAAGAACTTCCCCTGACATCCTCCTTATCTCATAAACTATTTTAAAGAAAGAGTCAGCATAAAGTCTGCTCTTCTGTCCTCACTACAGTTGAACAGTAAATGTTGCAACACCAAACTTAAGAGCAGAAACAAATCAATATAAAGAAACATCTACAATGCAAGAATTACGGTCCAAACCATTTTTTTTTCAAGTATGTAAAGGGATTACTTACAATTCATCTCCTTGTTTTGCTTTCTTGTCAGAAACCAGATACACGCTTCCAAAGCTCCCGTTGCCAAGTTTCCTCTGAATAGTGTATCTCCTTGCAATAGCAGCATCTGAGCAAGCAGAATTAGAGCTGGAAATGCTGACATGCTTAGCAGTTTCTTGAAATTTCAGCATTGCTCCGTGTAACAGAAACTACCCAAATTTCTCTAGAATGCAGTTTTCAAATCTTTTCACTCCTCTACAGATGTTCAGAGGAAATCCTTGAAACAGAAGGAAAAAGATTTGTTAATATACTAATCTTAACTAGAAAGCTATTTACTCTTTCATTTGCCCTTCAACTTCCACCATCTTTCTGCCATCTGTCAGCACATGAGTGACTGACTGCTACCAGCTTCTGCAAACCAAAGCTTCCTGGCTAACCACAAACCTACAGGATTTTCAACAACATTCACTTCTGCCAGAAGTTCTTCATTTCTCTTTTGCTAGAATAATTTGATTGCAATCCACCTTTCCAATAGTTTAGCTTTGTTTTGCAGTTCTTGTCTGCCTGAGGTCCTAATTCTGCAAATGCAGAGAGCGCAGAAGCAAACTTTTGCTGTTACTTTGGCTTGCTATGACTGAAAATGCTTTTGGACTGACTTTATTTTCTTTTCCTTCCTCATTCCAAACGACAAGGAGCAGATGCTTCTCCTTACATGCCAAAACAACACTGGTATTGTTACTTTGCTTTTTTATTTGCATTATTTGTTTCAAAGTATCCTCAAGTGCAAAGAAACGTCCTAATACCCGTTCATCAGCAGAGTTATTACTGCTGTCTCATCAGCACTGCATATGAAAATGCTTTGTTTCGTTTGGAAAAGAGAAGAAAAAAAAACTTTATTTTACCAACCGTGTAACTTCTGGTGCCAAGGGATTGCTTTCCTACAAACAGGGAGCCTAAACGAAGATTATGAGTTTGGAACCTTTTTTTTTTTTTAACAGTAACCAAATGTGCACCGACCTATTTCAATACCCACCTGCTGAGCTGCTGGCACGCTGCCCCAAGGAGCGCGACTTTGTGGCAAAACGCAGCCAAACTTTACTTACTACAGACCACCTTAACAACGACACAGACCTCTTTATCTTAAAGCCATCCCCCCCCTCGTCCGCTCGGCACCCTGCCGCGTGAAGCTGGGCGGTTACCTGCCAGCACCCCGATGCCGCCCTCCAGCCCCAGCCCGCAGCTCAGCCCGCGGGGCCCGAGCGGCGCCGTTGTCAAGGCGACGCTGCGCGTGCGCGCAGGGCCCGGCCGGAGGGCCGCTTCCGCCGCCGCCGCCATGGGCGTCCCGGGGCTGACGGGCTTCGTGGAGGAGCGCGGTTCGTTCTTCGCGGAGTTGCGGGTGCGGGACACCAAGCTGGTGATCGACGGCAGCAGCCTCTACTACCACCTCTTCTTCGCCTCCGCCGCCGATTTCCGCCGCGGCGGCGATTACGGCCCGTTCGCGGCGGCCGCGGACGACTTCTTCGCCGTTCTGCGCTCCTGCGCCGTGGCCGCCTTCGTGGTGCTGGACGGCGGGCGCGGGGCGGCCGACAGGAAGCTGGGCACGCTGCGGGAGCGCGCCGCCGAGCGCTTGCGCGCGGCCCACGGGCTGTCCCGCGGGGAGGGCGGCCGCGCGCTGCCGCTGTTGGCGCGCCACGCCTTCGTGCAGGTGCTGCGCCGGGCGGCGGTGCCCTTCGTGCAGTGCTGGGCCGAGGCCGACCGCGAGGTCGCGGCTCTGGCCAACCGCTGGAGCTGCCCCGTGCTGTCCCTCGACAGCGACTTCTTCATCTTCCCGCTGGCGGGCGGATACCTCCCGCTGAGCGCCTTCCGCTGGCGGGACGTCCGCACCGAGCGTTCGGGCCGCTACATCCCCGCGCGGCGCTTCGAGGCGGAGAGCTTCTGCCGGCACTTCGGGCGGCTGAGGAGCAGCGCGCTGCCGCTGTTCGCCGTCGTAAGCGGCAACGACTACGTAGACGCGGCGGCGTTCGAGGGCTTCTTCGGCAGGGTGCGGCTGCCCGGGAAGCACGGCCGCGCGCGGGGGCTGCTCGGCTGGCTGGCGGGCTTCGCGGGGCCCGAGGAGGCGGCGGACGCCGTGCTGAAGCACGTGGGCGGGCGGCGGAGGGACGCGGTGAGGGAGCTGCTGCGCCAGGCCCTGCGGGACTACGCGCCGTCCGACGTGAACCTCGAGGAGTTCTTCGCGGAGGGCCGTTACCGCTGCGAGGAGGACGAGGCCTCGGGGCTGCCGCCGTGGCTGCTGGGCGCCTTGGCCAGAGGCGAGCTGGCTCCGCTCGTCGCAAACGTCCTGACTCTGAGGAGCACCTTCCTCCACGTCCAGGTGGAGGACATGCGGCGGCCCAGCGCGCATAGCGCCGCGCTGCCCATCCGGCGGGTTCTGTACGGCCTGCTGCTGCTGCACGCGGCTCCCGGCGCCGACGCGCGGCGTGAGGCACGGAGCGGCGCGCTGCCGGCCGTCTGCGAGTTCGACCGAGTGCAGAAGTCAATTAAAAAGACGTTTGTCCAAGCGGCGAGACTCCCCGCGCCTTTTGGCGATGATGGCTTCTCTCTAGACGGGTTAGTGCAGGTAAGTGCTCGTCGCAGCAGGTTAGCAGCGTGGCACGCGCTTAGGAGGTGGGGTGTTTGACAGCGGGGCACTGAAGGTGATTGGCGAACCCAGCGGCTTCAGTGAGCAAATGCTCGGCTACGCACAGTCCTGCTTCTGAGGGCTGAGGAGCTAAGCACATTTCTTCACTCCCCCCTACCAAGTGCACCAAGCCAAATTACATAACAGGCTGACAGCGTGCATGGATAGCATTGCTAAATCATCCCGTGTAAGCCCTCCTCCCGTCCTTCCTATAATGTTAAACTAATATTTGCTTTTGTCGTTTTAGGAAAGGACTCACAGTTCTGTGAAATTTAGAAAGGTTTAGAAAAGTTCAACACTACTAAATTTAACTTGAATTTGATCAAGTTACGGATACTTCAGAGCAAAGTTAAATTTACTAAAAATCAGCATTATTATTTCATCTGTAAACCTGCAGCTATCCAGCAGTTCCTCCTGCTCCGAATATGCATCCTGCTATGCGTGCTTCCCTGCTCCTTGCCAAGCAGAACAGCACCTGAAAAATACAACTTGTAATCAAAGGAAGTTTGTACTAGGTTAGTTCTAGTCAGCATTAGCTGTGGTATATTTAAATTCTCATGGTTTCTTATGGTTGAGACTATGCCTTGGAATGGGAAACACCCAGGGTTCATACCTCTTTTTGAAACTTTTGGAAATACAATCATTGCCTTTTCATACTACACATAGAATCATAGAATTGCTCAGGTTGGAAAAGACCTTAAAGTTCAAGTCCAACCACAACCTAACCATACTACCCTAACAACCCTCCACTCAATCATGTCCCTGAGCACCACATTCTAATGGTTTTTAAACACATCCATGGCTCAACCACCTACTTGGGGAACCTATTCCATGTGCTCTGCCCACTGGCATCAGACCCACAGTAGCACATTTGTGTGTTGTCATCAGCAGCTGGTGGCTGTGAATGTTGTCTGTCCCTGCTGTGGTACAGGTTTATTGTTACTTTGAATGAGTAGCATGCAGATATCTGTGAAATGTGTGGTTTGGGACTTTCAGAAACATTAATGATACCTAAATGTGTTCTTGCATTGTATACCCTACTGAAGTTGAGTTTTGGTTATTATAATAACTCTCCTCACGAAATATATACAAATTACCAATTCAACAAGTTACAAGATGCGGTCCTCTATATTCAGAGTACTCTTGGCAAAATTGGCTTCAGTTTACCTTCTGTTTGTGGGACGGCTGCTTTGCAATAAGCACAACCATCCCAATCCAGATGTGCAAAACACTTATGTTGCAGTTGAGCACCTTGCTCCAGTTCCGCAGTGAGCACTGCATGTAGACAGTTTGTGGTGCTGTGTTTTAAATAGCACAGCAAAGAAGGAATGTGCTATGAGCTCACATACTGCAAATGAGAAAGGTAAGCTGTACACTGAAGGTTTCACTGTGGTAACAGGTGTGTTCTTGCCATACCAAGAACAAGCATCACCATTACAGCTCACAAAAAAGGGCCACTTTTTGAAGACATGAATTTACACAGACATATTTGCCATACCAAGGGAACTTAAATATGTTACACCTGCTGAATTTTCAAAGTCAACTTTTGCATAGGAACGTAATGTCAATCACCTGATTTGCAGGAGACACTGAAGCCTGTTAAAATCCAGCTGACTTCAGGCAATTGTGAAAATTGCCTTTTTAAGTGGTTTTTCAAAAATACTTCCTGTTCAGAGTATCTGTGACACTTAACTTTTTATTTTAATTAAAACCACAAAGTATTTGCTAGTTTAAATTATCTTACCTGCCTTCTGGAAATGACTCGCAACAAATAAAGTCTGTTTTTTTTCCTTCAAGATCTTCTGCTTATTTTCAGGTGCCAATGTCACACCGTCAGCTACTTCTGCTGGAGACTTTAGGAGTGAAAATGAGTTTGCTAGAATCTGTCCCTGCCCACTTACAGCTCCCTGTTGCTGTAACCTGTTACTGGACGCGTTGTTCGGAACCTAAAGTGAACTTGCATCACGTAAAGGCTCTACTTCTAATGATAGTAGCTGGAGAACTGCACAGGATAACAAATGAGCCAGGTATGTCTCCAGAGGATACAATTTCGGATGCAGAAATCACAGTTTCTGTGAGTACTTACTCACAGGTGAGTACTTTCAGTAATATTTCTACATGTTAGGGGTAAGGTGGCATTTTCTTAGGAAGAGTCCTTGATATGATGCCAAAGATGATGCATGCCAGGGTTATTCTGTTGATTTAGGCTCTGAACTACAAAAGCTGCTTGAAAATGACTGCCACCTGCTTCTTGAGTGGGATGGAGTGAGATGGTAATCTTCTCAAATGGATTCACTCCCAGAACTGGGAAAGTACTTGACAGAATTACTATTTTCATCATTTCAGATTCATATGGATAATGATACTCACATTTTTTCTCCACTCTATGTCTTAATGTTGAGACATTTAGGTAGGCTTCCAGAAATACAACTAAACACTGGTAGTTTGTAGGCCCTATACATTGCTGATACTTATTGTGTGTTGACAGAAGGATATTTATTTGTCTGTCATTTTCTATCCATAACCTAGATCTCACAGTTCTCCACCCAGAAGACAACAGACTTGCTTTTAACGAATTTCTAAAATGGAAGGAAGAGAAACTGCAAAATAAAGACTTTGATTTAGATGCTGCACATGGCTTTTGCCAGTGGCAGTGCTGTCTTGAGATGGGATTGTATCTCAACCAGCTACTCTGCAGTCCTCTCCCTGAGCCAGACTTAGCTAGGTAAGGACATTTCAGAGATCTGCTTTCCACATAAGCTCCCTCTGAAGTGCTTTCACATGTTGCTTTAATGTCTGCATCATAAACTGCTTTGGCCAATTTTAGCACAGTTCGGACTCCTTTCTTTAAAGGTGAGAATATGGAGAAAACTCTACTTAGAATATTTCTTAGGGGCCCGCTGTTGAATATTTATGTAGTTAAGACGTGGTTGGGGTGTTTGGTTTGTTCTCCCCACTACGCTGCATGTTTCTGTACTTCTGCTGAGGTATGATAGCAAATGAGAATTCTCTCCTTCCTTTGAGCAGGCTCTACAGTGGGACCCTCGTGCATGGACTGTATCAAGAGCTTAAGTCAACACCCTCAGTGGAAAATCTGTTCAGTTCTTCTCCAAAAATGACTGAGTTTTATCAGGTTCTGTTGAATATAGTCATATCAACTGTATCTCCAGACTTCTTTCAGAAGAAAACAGAGGCCAAATCTGAGTCCTGCAAAAAGAAAAAAGCATCTAAAAAGACAAAGGCTGTCAGGTGTGCTGTGTCTGAAACTCAGCGTTTACGTGATGTTAATAGGTTTGCATCACTCAGTGTGGATGACTGAGAGCATTATTCCTATAATAATTTCCAGTGTCACAGAGACAGAAGAAATTATATTTAAAATGTGACTGTATTGGAATTTGCTTGGCTGTTTTCATACAAGCTCCTGATATTTATTTTTTTACCAATGAGTCTCCCTCCAGGATTTAGTATTTTTGTAACAAAGGCTCCTATAAAAGAGGTGCTGCATACAACATGCTTTGGTGTCTGAGTTTTGTATGGGTGGAGAGTGGAGGTTGGATGATTAAAAGGTGTCTAATTGAAAATGAGAGTAAAGAACTTGAGCAGTTCAGAATGTTTCTTTTTCTGAACACTTAAAGCAAGCCTACTATCCTTCCTTTTCCCTGCCTGCTTCTGACTTTGAAAACATCTATTTTCAAACTTGTGTCTGAGAAGCAGCTACCTATGCTGCTGTATGATTACAGTTTTACAAATCAAATTGAAATTGAAAATTTAAAAAAATATCACTTTCACAGATAGTAGAATATCTGTAGTTTTATGGAGAGGTAGCTGTCATTGCTGAAGTGGATGCTTAAGGGAAAGGTTCCCTCCACCCATCGTGCTACTGGTACCGCATGGAGCAAGTGGATTGCATTGACACACAACGAGCTTGGATGGGGAACCTCAGCCATCCAGGAATCTTAGAGGTGATCATGGACTGACCTGAAGGTAAGAAGTTTGGAACTTCACCAGCAGAAGTATTGGGTATTAAAGAGGCTCCACCATACAGTGACCTACCAGAAAATGAAGAGATATGCCCTGTTCATAGATGGATCACAATGTACTATGGGGAAGCATCACAGATGGAAAGCTGCTGTGTGGAGCCCCACGCGAGTTGCAGATGCCACTGAAGGCTGATCACCATATGCTGTCTTAGTCTCTTCTATGTGGAAAACCTAGGCCTCAAAAACTACAGGAATGATTTCTGATATTGTACAGCTGAGTCTTGATACTTTCATAATACATTCAATGAGAAATTGATACATTTATTTGTATATTTAACTCAGAAAAACTATTTTTGAGACAGACTGAAATAGCAGGTAGCTGAGATGGTAGTAATGTCAGTACAGAACTGCTACTTTCCCAGTTAGCAGCAGGTGGCACTCACACTCAACCACAGAGCAAGTTAGCAGAACTGCTCAACACCTTTCTGACCGTTCACAGCCATCTACAGCCGCGTTTCCATCAGATGACTTTAATAGGTGGAAGGTGTTATATTTAAGTTCATGATTTTAGAAACTAAGGACGTAAATTCTTATTAGTCCAAATCATCCTTTGAATCATTATCATCTCATGTGTTTCAATTCCCAAGCTTATAATTCTTCATAGCTTTTATAATCATCATCCCATTTTAAGTCTTTAAAACAAACAAAAAAATACGGGCGTGCTTGATTTCACTTTGTTGTTGCTGTAAGAAGAGATCTTAACCTTCATCCCATGTTGGGAAAACGCCAGAGTTCAAATAATTCCTGAGCCTTGCTGAGAAGCACAATCTTGAATTGGTTCCAAAGACTAGGATAAACTCGAGCGTTCTGTTTTTTGGATTAAAACCTGCTATGTTCACAAGACATTCTGAGACCACCTTTGGGAGTCCTGACTTGGTGATTAAAAAATTGTTTTACTGGAAATGTGTTCTCAATGCAAACTGATTCTAGGATCACCACTCAGAGCTTGTTTTGGTGTTCTTTGGGTCATCATAGGATTTTAGTCGTCTTCTGGGAGAAAAACAACCAGAAACAATAAGAGAATAAAAGGCTCTTTCTCAATTCTGTGCTTTAATAAGAGCAACTAAGTTACTTAATTGCTGCCTATTTTCACACTACATGAAGCACCTGTCAATTTTTGAGGACAGATCTTGCTGTTGATTGAATTGCTCTGAAGAAAATCTCAAACATTCTGCTAGGTGATATTGACCAAAAATGGAGCTAGAAAAAAAAAAGCAATAGAATTCAGACAGTCCAAGCATTTCTCACGAATAATGAGATTGAACTACCAGATGAATTACTTGTTATATAAGTTACTGTTTCACCTTCTGCTGGAATACAGCAGGAACGCCTCAGGCATAATTCAGTATAATTCACTTTAAGTGAGTTCACCTTTGAAGAAGGTAGAATTAATAGTTCTTCAGGGACTAAATTTTGTTTCTTGTCTACACTGACAGGTAAATTCAGAAGGTGAGACTTAGGCTGGCAAATGAGCACTTTGTGAAATTTGTTTAAAGCCTAGCAAATAATAATTCCGCCCTAAGTCAATACGTTTGTGCTTATCTGCACTTCTCTACATACTTGGATTTCTAGGACTCCAAGAACAAATGCAGAGCATGAAGCAGTCAAATCCCATGGAGATTATCAACAAGAAGTCTTACTAGGTGAAAGATACAGTTGCAGCACTTTCTCAAAATGCAGGCTGGTGCAAGTGATTCTTCGTCAGCACGCATCATCAGTTTTTACTGCGCCTTTACTGGGATTTGAAGAATTTTAAATACTTTACTAATGATGTTTTAAAATGTTCTGAAGTGGCACTAAAATACTGAACACTCTGGTAATACAGACCCACTTGTCAAAGACAGCAACAGTCCAACAGGAAGAACACTGATAAATCTTTTCAACTTCTGAAAAGCAGAACTGCTGGAAATGAGAAATTTGTGCTAAAAAAGATCATTTCTGGTTTGAGGCCTTATCAGCTCAGTGGTTTAGCTAACATCCTATAGTAAAGGTGAGTGCCATATACTAAAGTCTTTCCCCTTACTAAGTAGAATAACCTATCAGCAGGGTAATTCATACAATACCTTCCAATCTGCCTTATTTTCCATGAACTTTCCAGATTCTGAGGATGGCACTTGGAGCAAGCCACAAAGAAACGTACAAAAACATCTCACTGCTCATTTAGAATTTCTCAGTAACCTTACTGACAGGAGGACCATCTTGTGACAGCGTGCCTCTGAGCCAACACCAACACAAAATACAATTTGCAGGCTGCAGTGTGGAAGATGTGCATCCACATGCTTTCAGTCAAAAGATATTATTACATTCTGTCTTCAGCTCCCTTGAGTTCCTGCACATCATCTTTTCAAGATTCACTGGATGACTGTTCCTTCCATTTCCTCAGGGCATAATTGGTCCATCTCTAACAGCAACGATGACAAGAGCTGCAAGACTACTTTGAGGAACACAGCTGTTTGCTTCTAAATCACTGAATATCCAGACATTATCATATATCAAAAATTACTTCTAACATCAAGATACTAATCTACCACAACACTTCTTGATCCACAAAAAGTCATTTTGAAGATTAAAATTTTAAGTTACCCTAAGAGAAAGCTATTGTAATGATGGGGGAAGAAAAAAAAAAAAAGAACAGGAGGGGTGCAGAAGGAAAAAATCAGCTTATTTCAAAGAAGGCTGGGATTTTTGGCCATTAGAGTGAGAATTAGCATGTTTGCTTTCTAATTCAGTATACCACATAATTGTAAGTCAGATATTTCAATACTAGTACTGCCTTATTAATCAAGTAATCTAGCATCTGTAAGCTCAAGTAAATGTGGGACAAAGCAGGTATCCAAAACCATCACAAGCCTGACAATCTGGTGTAAATGCCAGTTCCTTTTAAAGCAAAGAGACACCACACTCATAAGAAAAGCAAACATTTACTTCAAATTGCAGTATAGGCTTTTCAATCACAGAAAAAGAAAAGAACAAACAGTGATCCGACAGCGGTCACATCCTGTGCAAAAAGAAAAAACCTCCAGATACAAAAAAAACCTGTAGCACAAGGTACTTGAGCCGCTTACACATTGCAGGGTGAAGTAAATAAATACAGTAGCTAGAATATGGCACTCTTGTGACAGACTAAACCCAGTGGAATGCCTCTGAAATATTTTTTTAATCCTTGTATTAGTAGCAAAGTCCCACCACCGTAAAAGTAAAATAGTACAATGTTTTAAATAAAAACAAACTAAAATATTTATATCTAAGAGAAGAATTTTATACAATTATGTCTCTAAGTGCAGAAAATGGGACTCGGGCTTAGATCGTTCTTTAAGTTAACCCCCCCACACACAAAATCCCATTAAATCTCAAAAGTAAATTGGTTTGAGGAAAAATGTTACCAAAGTTGCATAATTTCAATTGTTACTCCCACGGTTGGAAGTTAAATTCTAAACAGTCTTGAAACATCAATGTTCATCATTAGCCAGTGAAACAAAGGACTTGTCAAAAGCCCTCAGGACTTCTTAATCCTCCAAATATTGTTTTGCTTTCTCCTACATCTTCAGACAGCAATCCCTAAGTTTGCAAACAAAAGAATGCAATATGCATCATACATCAAGAAAAGACGAAGTTGACGAAGAAGAACTTCCATGTTTCTGGATCTTTTCCTTGCTTCTCTCAAACTTCTTTATGATCTCAGTTACTATGCACACAGAGGAAGTGAGTCCCAGAAGAAACAGTAAATCTGGAAAAGATAATTAGCCGTTTTAAAACTTGCTATTTAAGGTTGAGGGCAGACTGACAAAGGAATATATGGCTTACAAGACCTTCAAATTGCCTGCCTATTACTGGGTAACTTGAGCAGAAATGAAGCAAGAATCATTTTGCAGAACCAGACAATTAGTGTGCATAGTTCATGCACAAATCACAAGGACACACACGCTATTTCAAACTCTTAAAGCATTTCATAACACTGTTTTTATTAATACCTAGAAAAGCTAAGAACACTAAGCAACATAATTAGCTTTATACTGAAACGATATTGTCAGAAATGACACCAGGATAAAAAGACAAAGAATTATCTAAAAACACAGAATCATAGAATAGTTTGGGTTGGAAGGGACCTTTAAGATCACCTAGTTCCTTTTTGCCTGCATCAGTACTCATTAAAACTCCTAAAATATTCAAGCACTTCAGAAATCTAAGTACACAATCATCTGTTTTGTGTGCAATACGCACTTAATTATGGTTTCCAAACAAAATGTCTGAAAGTATTTTTTCCCCTCTTAAAAAGAATCAGCAGGATTGGTTTTCCTGCTGTATGCAAATAGAAAGAGCTCTTACAGAGTCACTGAACATTTAAGTTGGAAAAAACCTTTAAGATCATCAACATAACACAACCAAATCCATCACTAACCCACGTCCCTAAGCACCATGCCCACTACCACAACCCAGTGCTTCTACAAATTAATCCTTCATGTACCATTCT